TCTAGAGTTTACTTAGCAAGCAGATGATATAAAAACTCCTGTGTATAGCCAGAATTCTTAATGCAACATTGATAACTCAGTTGAATTATAAATTTCACTTTTATTTTGGTTTAATCAATACATTAAATAAAATATTTTATTTACATTAATTTATTAGGTGGATAGAAGCTCATTTCACTTAGTAATTAGTAGAAATTTTTCTTTGAAATCACACCTTTTACCCACCCTTACTGAGAAATATCCATAATACATTTTTCTATTTTTTCTGAACTTCTGCTATCATGAAAGGATAATTATTGCAAATTAAAACTATTTGTTAAAAGGTACAAACTATTTCTACTCATAAGATGTCATAGCCTTTTGAGAAGGAATTGTTCAAGGTTAAATAACTGAAACCACAAATTATGCAGTATTTTTAATTAATAGAACTTAACTAAATAGAAATCTCAACAATAAAAAATTTTAATTCAACGTTCCACTTTTCTTTTGGGTATGGTGGTATACACCTATAATTCCAGCAATCAGGGAGACTAGGAAGGAGAATTGCAAGTTGGGGCCCAGTCTGGATAATTTTGGAATTTAGTGAAAGCCTGTCTCAAAATTAAAAGTAAAAAGGGCTGGGGATGTAACTCAGGGTAAAGCCTCTTGGTTCAATGGCCAATATCTTCCTCTCCAAAAATTCACTTTTTAATGAAATAAAGATAAAACACATTCATATCAAAGATCAAAAACAATCAGAAAGACATTTGATTGAAATTACCTTACTTTTAGTTAGATTATAAGAAATAACCAATAACTGCAGGTTTCATCATGCCTCTTATGATGTGCTATATGCCTAAACTTTGAGTCTCACAATAGCTTTTCAAGATAGTTATAATAATTCTCTTATCTTATCTAGTATCTTACAGGTACAGGAATGGGAGCTCTAAGGACTTTTTAATGTGATTGTTATAAGCAGTAAACTTACTACTGACCACGATTCTTGTATTGTCTTTATATTATCATACTCTGTTTACTCATGATACACACACATGGGTGCACACACACACGGATGCATACACAGGTACAAGCAAACACATATATTACTATGTGATATATGAACTTTAATTCTGGGCAAGAACTTTCAGATCATTCCCAAGTTGAAATTTGGGAAACCAGCACACCCCATTTAGGAAACATTGTACTATATGGTAAAGTGGAATCCATACACAACCCAGGCTACCAGCTCATTGAGCAAGATATGTGTTTTTCTTGCTATCTAAATCAACGTTGGCATATTTAGTTGTTGGCATTACCAGGTACAAGCGACCTTTTCTTCTTTCTTTGTAGAAGTTTCAAAGCAAGGTCTCAGGTCCTTAAATTTTTCTCAATACTTGGTTCTTGGTTGATGTACAAATGTTTTTAGTATGTCCAATAGAACTTTCTGTGATGGTGGAAATAGGTCTGAAATAACCAATAAGTAGCCACTAGCCCATATGGTTGTTGAGCACTTGAAATATAGTATGTCAAAGGTATTAAAATTTTAAAATCTTAACTAATCTAAGTTTTTAAATTTTCAACTAATTTGAATTTAAACAGCTATATGTGACTAGTAGTTACTATATTGGATAGAGTAGTTCTAGCTAGTTTAAAATTCTGGTGCACATGGGGCTGGGGATTTAGCTCAGTAGCATAAGTGCCTGCCTTGCAAGCACGCAGTCATGAATTCGATCCCCAGTACTGATAAAAAAAAATTCTGGTGCATAGGGCACAGAGCACCCCAGCAACAGTATCTTTGTAGATCACCTAGTGAGGATACTATAGAAGTTATATAATTAATAATAAGCTTTAATTTATTTGGTTCCAGAGAAGGGTTGAAGTAGAATATTGGTATTATTAATAAGAAGGCATATGGAAATTATTGAGGAAGAACAAATGGAAAAATTATGTCGTGGCAAATACTAAGACAAAGAGCTAGACAGTGACATCTGAATTTTTAAGCCTCATGTATTGGAGCAGTATAGAACTATCAATTCAATATAAAACATCACCTTTACCAATGCAATTACTAAGGCTACAGAAATCCAATTAATGCAGATGAAATTTTGCCATAAGCTGGAAATAAAACTAAATGCATAGTACATCAGATTCTACTGTATGTTAGAGTGGCCATCTCCAATTAAGTTACCAACTTGAAAGAATCAGGAAGATTCCATGAACTGAAGGAAGGATATTAATATAGTGTCTAACATCAATAAGCATTTTATCAATATTAGCACTTAGAATGATCCTTATTTCTGGCTACATCTTTTAGTCACTATGAGTGTATGGGAAGACACTTAATCAATGTTTGGAAAGTTATTTTTAGAAATAATTCATAGAAGAGAAATGATAGACAACATAAGGATAAGTTGAGAAATGTCACAATAGTGTCCTTATTTGTGAATTGTTGTCATTGAGAAACTTATTGAGGAAGATGGTCATATCTATCAGATATGTTGAATCAGACAACACTAGAATGATGGAACCAGAGACAAAGGATCAGAAAGAAAAAGTGCCTAGGAGCACTGCTCATGTGTTTGTTTGTGGTATGTGACAAATATAGGTAATTGATTCTGACATTTTTGTCAAAGATAATGACAGAAGGCATCCCAGAAGAGTATTTCAGCCATGGTGGAGTAGTGATAGGAGCACTGGCTCTGGAGTCAAGTTAACAGGGTTAAATACTGCCTTTTCTTTCACTCATGTGGCTTAGACCAATGATCATCTTTGGGTTTCCAAGTTCTCTTTTTTGTTACATAATGGAGAGGAACAGGACTTTAATGTTATTAGAACAGCTAGAGCTCAAAACTCAATAATATAATTCTAGATAGGAAAGCATATATAAACTCGCCTTCTGGACTAACTAAAACCATTTTTTTTTCTTTCATGAAAGCATGTTGGTTTAGTCCCCTAACTTGTTTCTGTAATCCCAGAGCTCAAGTTGTCTGAATGGTAGTATTACAAACAGCATCCCTCAAAATATTTAGAAGGATGGCAGTGAATGATGGTGGATGAAGAGATTAAAGAGGAAAGGGTTGGAAGAGAGAGTAGTGTTTGTGAAAGAAAAAGCAGAGTTCTTTATTCTTTTGTTATATTCTCTTGTAAGCTATTTAAAGATAAATACCAAAATGATGGGATGAAAATGGCTTGGGCTTGGAGGAAAGCAGACTTGAGTTTGAATTCAGCCTTTGGATCCAAGATTCCTAATTTCCTTATATGTGTGATACATATGTATGCAATATTGTGAAATTTAAAAGAGACAATAATTCCTAACAGCTAGTACTTGTTTAATAAATATTCTCTTAACTTGGTCTCCCCAAATTGGCTTACTCGTTTTCCCATCTTAGAGACTGGTTAAAAAGACAAATGCACAGAGCTGCTTAAAAATCTGTGTCTAGAGGATGTAAACAACGTGTGGTGGGGAGAGAAGAGAAAAAAAGCCACAACCTGTGACAGAAAATCCTGGTAATCTGAAGCATCTCCCCCACCCCACCCCCTTTTTTGTTACCTTACAATTCTCCAGTTTCTGGAACCCACAGAAATGTTTATCAAAACAGCATCCTTAACTGCGTTTACAGCACTTTGCCGACAGGCAGACTCAGACACAGGCAGAAAAACAAAACAAAACAAAACAAAACAAAACAAAACAAAACACCCCCCAAAACAACGAGACAACACCGAAGTTAGCAAGCCAAGATCCTCCTTGCTTTTGCACCCTTCTGGCCTCCCAAGCAGAGTACAGGGGAAGGCACAAAACCCGAAAATCAGAGAACCTGTACGTTGTTTTCTAGTTAAACACCAATCTGTCTGTCCGTGATTGTAACAGTTTTCCCTTGCGGAGAATGCTGGCGGTTGACGGGCCATCAATTCTCCGGAGGTATTAGCTCTTAACCTTAGACAACTTTCAGCACCACGGACAGCGCCCGCCACTGGGTTTTGCCTGGACTCCCCCGGGGTCCCTCGGATTCCGGGTCCCCAGGGAGCCAGGTCATCCGGTGGCGCTCGGCCAACTCCAGTCGCAGCCTGCGCTCGCCGCTTTGGCGAGAAGTCGTTCCCCAAAACTGGTTCAAGAACTCAATGAACCGAGCTTCGCACAGGTAGGGGGGTGAGGAGTGCAGCTGAGAAAACCCTGCTATGCCAGCTTCGGTCTCCCTCTTCCATCGCAATATAAAATGCGATGGGGTGACTCAGAAAAGAGAAAGGGGTTGGGACCAGGCTGCGCCATCCCAACCTTTCGTATTCGGGGCAACTGATGTGCTTTGGGGCGCGGGGGGGGGGGCGGCAAGAACCTGGAGGGGCGAAGTAGTACGGGAGAAAGTCGTCGCCGCAGGCTGCCCTCTGGGCTCTGGGCGGGCAGCCTCCCGGATCCTCCTCCCGTCACGTCCTCCTCGCCGCCCCCGGCTTCTCACGCTCTCGGGGGACAGATGCCCACGCGGCGCACCGCCTCGCCCGGGCGCCAGGCCGGCAGAAGTCAGTCCTTCCGCAGAGTTTGCTCTCAGGTGAAAGAGCGGAGGTTGCATGCATCCCCTCTCTTGGGCTGCGGCCGGAAAAGCGTCCCTACAGTCTCGGGTCCGGGCCGGGAACCGAGCGGCCGAGCAGGCTGCGCGCCCGGGCAGGAAGGAAAGGACGGGCCCGGCCTCTCCAAGCCCCGGGCGGCCCAGACGCTGCCCCAGCTCGCCCCGCTCCGCTGCCCCAGCTGCACTCGCCCCCACCCCTCGGGCAGCTCCCGCGCACGGATCCGGCGTCCGCACCCCACTAACGCTAACCGGCCCAGCTCACGGCCAGCAGGAGACCCCCCCCCCCCAGCTCCATCCTCCTCCCGGGAACCCCCTTCCCTGAGGGCGCCCTCAGCCTCCGCGCCATGTTCCCGCTCCCCCCTCCCTCTGGCTCCAGCTCTCTGGTTCATCCCAGTCTCGGGGACCCAGCAGAGGCGCGGGGTCCTGCAGGGGGACCGACAGTGACATGGGGCCGTCACTCACCAGAGCGCCGGAGCAGATGCACGAGCTGCCAGAGCTGGTGGCCGGCGGCCCGCTGTCGGAGCAGGGCTGTCTCTCCGGCGGTGATGCGGGGGGGGGGGGGGGGGGAGGCAGGTGGGTGACGGCGAGGAGAGCAGGAGGCAGCCGCTGCTGCTGAACAGCTCCTCAATTATTCAGACCGACCCCCCCCCCGTGCCCCTCCCGCGCCTGCCTGCCAGTCCTCCCTCCAGCCCGCCTGTCTCCGCCTTCTTGGAGTCACGTGACTGATCCGGTCCCTTACGTTACCAAGTCCAAGCCTTGCACCAGACCGCACTTTCCTACTCCACCGTCTGTCACGCTTAGCTCCCTGGCCTTCTGAGATTCCAGTCGGGCCCTGGGAGTGTGCAGAGCCAAAGAGGCCAGGAAAGAGGGCAAGTCTCCGCCCTGAAAAGCAGGGCCGGGCAGGACTGTGCAGTCGGTATGTGAGGGAGACATCTGTCAGCAGCTCCATCTCTGCTGGACTCTGTCACCAAGCCCCCGGTCTGCCCTCTCCTGTAACTGCTCTTGAACTTCTTTCACCTGCACTAAGGCAAAGAAAAGATGGGAAGGTTGATTTCTTCTCTACTCCCAAAGAAAAGACCCAAGGCTCAAGTAGGCCAGGTTTATCTTGGGTTCACATCATTTAATGGGTTTAAAGACCATGGGTTTAGGGTTTGAAGATCCACCAGCAATTTCAGTCTGGATGACTTTTCCTCTCTCATTTGTGAACTAATCACCTCAAAGAACTGTTATGAGAAATAGATATCGTTGTACTTTTGAAATCGCTGAGCCTACTTCTAGACACATATTTGGAGATTAGTAAATGAGGGTCCTTCTTCCCTTGCTTCTCTTAAAATAAATGTCAGAAAACAAAAATAATCTGCTGTGTCAGTAGAATGAAGGTATCTTTTTAGACTTGGAAGGAGTTCTGTGTGAGGACAGAGTAGAGGAATAATAAGCCTAAATGGGGAGAAGAGAGGCACAGGCCTAAGTTTTACACTGGTTTCTTATGGTGAATGTCATAGAGGCATCCTGTGTCTCAAAAGGTATGGTCTGGATACGACCAATTCAAGCATGATTGGCTTCATCATTGACTAGATTATTTAACAAGCATTGAATCTACTAGTTTGGATGGGACTTATCTATATGAATTCTTGCACTTTTGCCCAAGCCCTCAAAATATATAGGACTAATGAAATAGAACTCCTTGCTTTTAAAGACTATTTCAATGAACTTGCATTTGGGAAGAATACTGAATGATAGCTGCTCTTTAAGGTGGAACAGTACAAATTTAATTCTAGATTATTGGCCTTCTCCGGACCTCATGGATCTTGGGTTTTTCTCAGAAAGATGACAAATCATGGCCTGGACAATCTTGCTAAATCCACTTAGTTCAAGCTCATTAGTACTTTGAACCAGCATCCAGGCCTGAAGTCCTGAGACATCTCCCTGAGTCAAACTTTTGAGCTGTCCTGTATAGTGTATCACATCTCCTGAGATCCTTACAAAGTTCTGAAACAATGTAGAAAAAAGACAAAGTTAAATAAGCAGGAATTTGGTACTAGCGCAGGCTCTGTCAGTTACTTTTATAACCTTTGGTAAATCATTTAAACAGAGTCTTATCTTTAAAGACCGAAAAATTGTGCCCATCTTCCTTCTGTATAAAAGAACTGAGATGCTCAGATGGGGTAATGCATGAGAAGCTACTGTAAAAGGTATTCAGAAAACAAATGCAAGTTATTAATATTATGTACTGAGGAAAACCTCGAGTCTATTCTAGTTCAGATGCATTAAAAGGTCAAGGAGATGGGAAGATGGGATTTGTTCCAAAACAGCCAGCCACTAAAAACTGTGGCTCTGAGAGTTTGCAAATGTATAATACCTGGAAGTCAAGGACTATAGCGCTTTAAGACAGTTTCATCAGAAAATTCTCTAGGACTCTGAATAATTGTTTCAAACCAGTTTTAAATGCCCCCAAGTCAACTTTACCCAGTAAAGGGCAGAACGAGGAGTAGAGCACAGATCTTGCATAGGTTGCAATACAATGTTACACCTTAACAAGATTTCTTGATTTCTTGATAAGCTTTCTCTTGGGTCCTTTCTCGCTTACAACCTTTTATCTTTTGTGTGCTGACAGTCGATTTTATCATAAGCCACTGAAAACAATTTCTTGCTATAGGTAGCACATTAATGAACTAATAAATAGAAATGCAGTGAACAAAAAACAAAAATATAGTCAAGAATTAAAGCCAGATAGAGCAGCAACAATTGGCCACAAATCTCAGTTCCAAAGTTAAATAATGATATTATAGAATGACTGCTAATTAACTCTTGAAAGGTACATTCTGGTTTTCTTTTCTAAAAAGTGGAATACGAAAGCATTGATTGATTTATTAAACATATCCAAGACACTGAAAATACGTATTTGAACAATTTAGAAGCCCCTGGAAAAGGCAGTGAGCTTGCAGTCTGGGGGAGGGAGTCAGACCATAGAGAAGTAAACAAAGCAGTGACATAACTACCACAATAGAAAATGAAACAGCAATCTTATATGTAAAAGAGCATCCCCTTGTTAAGTGACGGAGAACCAACATAAGCATATGTGGGGTCCTAGGCACAAAACTGTTACTCTCCAAAGAAGGACAGTGCTTTTACTCAGAACCTTTTGGAAAAACTGTTCACTATGAAGGAAATCACTAAACTCTCTCATGGTTAGTCTCCTTAGGTAGAGGTGATTAGACCATGAGCAAATTTGCCGGATGCTTTAATAACAATTGCCCATTTCTATCCAATGATTTACAATGATGATTACATGATGCTTTCTTCCAGAAGGACTCCAGGCTCATCAGTGCCCTTGACTCCCTTGCCTCTGCACAGATTCAAAATCTGAGAACTGAAGACACTGCCTGACCAGATAAAGGTGGTCTGGATCCCTCCAAAGACAGTAGTAATTTTAGGCCACATGAAGACAAAAAGAAAGGATATAGCCAGAACTTAGCATACCATAGACACACATTAACGATATATTAAACAAATAATCTGCTGCTAGGACTCTACCAATTGGACCGGAAGTTTAATATTTATTCTTGAGTAAAATTTCTTCTAGGTGTCTAAATTCAAAAAAGAAGAAAGCGTTGCTGACCCAAGTGTGCCCATTTCATTCCTCAGTTTTCAAACAGATGTGGCTCCCTCTCCATGCCTACCCCAAGCGGAGTGAATAAAGTTGCTTACTGAGCACTGCTGTGTGAGAAATTAAGGTCAGAAATGTCAGATTCTGAAAGAAGATGTTAAAATGAACATTTCTTCCCATTTGTTATGTGTTTTAACACGTTCACTTTTCTAAATTAATTTATTCTATAGAGATTTCTATTATAACTTGGATATAAAACTGGCATCACTTGCCATAAATACAAGACAACCATTTAAACACAATGAGATAAAACAGTGTTATTGTAATCAGGCTAAATACTTTTGTCTTCCCAACAAGTCGGAGTTTGCTTTTCCTTGTTAAAAGGGAAACTAACAGCTATTAATAAGGTGTTAAAGACAGTGGTATCAAACTGAGATTTTATTTACAAAGTAGTCAGCAAGATTGAAAGACACATAGAAAAAGACCAACTTCTCACTCTTAATTATGGGTCATTTACTGTCAAGTGTAACTACCTTCAAAATCAATATTTCTCTACTTTTTAAATAATTTTATTTTAAAGAGAAAAACAGATAAATAATGAAAACTAGTTTCAAAATAGAGTAGTAGAACATTTACAACACCTGATACACTGCACATAGGTATCTTGTAGAAGTTATTCAGAGTGCAGGACACAGGCATGCTGTCGTGAGTGTCTAGGGCACTCTGAACTCCGGGAAAGGTAAACACGCAAACATGCCTGATCGGGACATGGGGGGTACAATGCTCGGAAAAGAAGACAGGAGAGACATGGCACCTTTACTGCCTGCACCGCGTTACACTGCACTGCACGCACAATCTTTATTTTAAGATTCATATATAGTAAACCGGATCAGTTCACAGAGCCCAGATAATTAAGTAGTGAAAAGGCATTCTTTGTGGCAAGCTACAACATGACAGACTACAATGTTTATTTTAAACTATTTAAGTGAAGTAAATAACCACAACCAGTTTTCCTAACTTCTCTAGCCCAGGAAGAAATTCATTAGCTCAACAATGTTGTTAATTTGTCTGCTGTTAGTGTCACAAAGGGTGGCCAGCCACTTCCTCAAGACTTCTGCAAAACAAAGCCAGCTCACAGTATGGATTCCAGAGGGTGAGAGATCTCACTGAGAACAGGCATTCCTATTCTACCTCGGTCTCGCATACCAGGTGGGCTATTGTAAATTGCAAGTTAGAGGGGGTTGGGCCTGCAAAGTGACACCTCATCCCCCACAGCATGCTATCTGTGCAATATTGGTACAAAACATTCTTTTCAAGGAGCAAACAGAAGTTAGTTGTATAACTACCTTACCAATCTTGTATATGCATACATTTTTCTCTTTTACCCGTTCTTCCTTTCCACTATCACAGTTTGTCTTTTCTTTTGAACAGTTTCTTCCCAATTCACAATATCTATTTTTTTTTTAAACCAGGGATCAAACTCAGGACTTTGTGCTTGCCAAGCAGGCGCTTATGCCACTGAGCTAAACCTCCAGCCCCACAATATCTATTGTACATTTTTTATTTTAAACAGAAAAATAAAGATCCAAACAAACCAAAAAAGCAACAACAAAAGCAAAATGACAACAACTACAACAAAAACAACAATAACTATATGGGTTTTCAAAACAAGATGATAGGAATTCAGCAGTGGTTGTTACACTGCCTATTGTTATCTTCAAAATAGTTTTTCAGGTTACTAGGTACAGGAATAAAACAGAACAGTAAAATGAACCAAACATTGGATTTCCAAAACAAGGCAGAAGGAAATCCCCCACAGTTGCCACAATGTACACTGTCATCCTGGGAACAGATGTCCAGACCACCAGCCCCAGGCCTGCAAAGTCAGTGGAACAACACAAGCTTTTCCTTTCACCTCAGTTGCTATTGT